GAATTAACAAAATATTTCTCCTTCTATGTAAAGCTTGCATTTCTAAAAGTGAATAAGTTCTATGCGAAAAAAAAATCAGGTAAATAAAAGCTGTTTATACAGACTGCGCACATAATACACTCAATTAGGACACAAGGCTTTTCTTCCTAATGAGTCAGGGCAACTATGGTGCTCAAAAAAAGGTAAGTACTAGCAATGACAGACCTTGTGTTCCTTCATTGATTTAAACTAGATTTAATTAACCAAACAAAGGGGGGGGAAATTACTCTGATACTTTTGAATCTCAAATCCCAGCTTCTCTTTGCTGTCTTTCTCTTTGAATAACTTTTTTCGTGCTGTGTTGTATTGTTAACCAGAGTGCAGAACTTCACACAGTGGAGAATAAGTTTTTATTCCAATCAGCGTTGTTCATTGTCTGCTGCTTTCTGTGGAATTTCAAAGGAGTTGGAGAGAACAGCGGAAGAATTGGTGAGAGTGAGTAAATTGACGTGATTGAGCGACACAACAAATCTTGTGCAAAACAAACGCAAAAACCAACTATCCATTTTCACAGAAACGTATTTGCTGCTGACATAACGATGGAAAACTTAAGTATCTTGCTCTTATTTTTCAGGTTTTATTTACCTGGTTATGTAGTTTGTGCTGCAGTCTTTAGCTACTGACGTTTCTATGGCTTATGAAATATTGAGCTTTTTGTGATCATCTTGAATGTAAAGATGGGAGGCATAATATGACTGCCCTTTATCACATCTGATAAGAGCTGGAGCTGGTCTTTAAGAAGCTGGACCCTCTCTGGTGTGATGTATAAGATCATAGAGTAGGCAGCCCCAGTCATTGTTGACTCATGGTTGCTAAAAACTTCACTAGACCGACTGTTTTAAGTGACATAATGGACCCGCCAAAACTGGCAGCCCAGAGAAGAAGCCGGACTAGTTACAGGTAGCAACTGCGACATTATTCACAAAGTGAGTTAACTGTAAACTGACTGTACATTATTATTTTGTTTGCTTTGACTGAAAGTGACTTTAATTCTAAGAGTAAATCTGCACGAGATGTTATTCAAGCTAAGCTACAATATTTTGTTTAAATATAATTTACAGAGGGTCTCTTTTGCAGAAAATTAAATGAGATAAAATAATAATAAACTCAAACTTTGCAGTGAAGACTACATGCTTCTTTCACTAAAATATGTAATATTTTTATATTTCTTTTTCAGTAAGGTCCATGTGAATGAAACTGATATTCTTTTTCCCATCCTGCTGCATCCACATTCATACGGCTGCAGTGTGCTGTGATATATAGTCAAACACAAACACATTATGTTTCCCAGCTCCTTGAGAGCACAGATCCTGCCGCTCCGCTGTCTCTCAAGGTCTCTCTCCGTCTGCTCCGGCTGCACCAAGGTCAGCCGCTCCGCTGCAGGCTCCCTGCAACCTTGAGAGGCTAACTGACCGGGAAATGTGCGTTCTCCTGTTCCACCACCTATGTGTCTTAGTGTCAATCAGTAAGATACAGAACGGGGCTGTCGTTAAATGTTCCGGCGCGCTGCCACTGGGACATTAGGTCACTCTAGTAGATTTAATCTGAAAACAAAGGACGTTCACTCAAGGCCAGGCATGGAAAACAGGAGAAAAGCGACAGCTTCTGAGCAAATGTAAATCCCATCAAGTGGCTTCGAGCCTGCGAAACGTGGCCTAGAGGGAAGTGTTTCTTTGACTTGCACATTTCCATCTTTTCTAAAAAACATTAAACATTGATACACACATTTGTATGTATTAATGCCTAATAAAGTAAGAAGTGTAAAAGATCAGGTTTGAAATCTGTCAGGGTTTTTCTGTTTTCACAGTCAGAACGCATGACCAATGTAATCTGCAAGCCCACAGAGTGAAAGCTTTTCTAATTTAAATCAAATCACAGAGTTGTACCTGAATTAAAGTCACAATAGTGAGAGAGTATCCAGGCCTTGGTTTTGATGTAAAATCTCACGGCCTTGCCTCTGCTGCCCTCTGTGTTAAAAAGTCTTTGTGACAAGGAAATTGCTTTATGAACTGATGAAAGACACTCCAGTGTTTTGGCCTCCCTTCTAGTTTCACTGCTAAGATGATTAGAGAGATTTTTTTTTTGTCTATGGATCATTCCACCTTGCCTTTTATATTATCAGTCTCTGTCCTTGCTCTTCTGTCACAGCCTCTCCTTTGCCACTTGGCGAAGGGTTTTTGTTATTTGAAGGAACAGCTACTGAAATGCTAATCATTTTCGGACCTTTGCTTCTGACCTGTCTTTAGTTTACATAAACAACTTGTTGAGAATGAAACTCCTTTGAATAGAATTGGCTGCATTTGCCAACCCTGAGTGAAGTTGGGGTTTAGTGAATAAATGGAGGGAGAAACTCTGCTGCATGCAGCGTTACCTTCAGCCCTTTTAAACAATTCTGGTAAACAGCCTGCGCTGGAACAACAGGTCTGCTTTTCATTTGCCCAAGGCCTGCGGAAATCAGTTTATTTGAATGTGCTCGGTTTGGCATTGGGTGAATCATATTTATATCTGAACATGTGTGTTTAGATCTGTAAGGACTTTTACCTGGAATGCTCAATCCGGATGGAAGCAGAAATACCAAACATGTGTCTTTGCAGCCTTGAGACTTCACACGGCTCAGACTGTGCAGCGCTCAGCTCGGTAAACAGAGTTTCCTCCTGCGGGCTTTTTGTTTGGACAGGAAACAAGGAAGCTGATCAAACACCAACTCCAGAAGGCCACGGCCAAATCGAGTTGGAATAGGGTTGCAAGTCCCTCAAAAGCACTTTAAACATAGTTGGGAGGAGTAAATGTCACTTTAATGCGCAGATGTGCTGGCTTGCCGCCCCACTGAGAGTCTCATTTGTGCAATTTGTGCAACGTTTTCCCCAGATATGTTCCCACGCCTTAGATATTGCCAATCTCGAATGTGTGCCAGTATCACAAACACTGTGAAACTCTGGCTGATCTTGACTGCCTGCATGCTCCAGATTTACTGCCCAGTCCAGATGACATCATAGTCTCTGAGTAGACGGCGACAGGAGATAAGGAGTGCACGGCGGCTGATAGAGGAGGAGGAATAAAAGACGCAGAAGAAGCAGAGGGTGTTTGTCTTAGCCATGACAAACTTAATGAGTAAGGTGATAATGCTCCCCCCTTGTGACTGTTTATTAAACTGCAGGATTTACTGGGAAGTCATGAGCGAGTCAAAGTCTATGGAAAATAAGAAAGCTCTGAAAAAATGTTTGGTAAACTTCCTTAATCTAAGTAGACAGTCATAAAGACACAAATGGATAGAGATGGATACATTTTAAAAATATTTTTGAGTCCTGACTCCATAAAAAGCATATTAATGTCAGAAATGAATCACACAGAGGATCAGATAGTATTTTAGCACAACTCAAGCAAATAGTGATGTTCTTGATAAGCTATCACTCAAACGTTTTACTTACCTCGCAGCTGAAACTACTGATTTTTTTTAAGCTGTGCATAATAATAAATAATCTGTTCAAACAAAACATATTAGACTGGTTGTGCATTGACCAACTTTTTGTTTTAATGTTCATGAAAAGTCAGTAATCCTCCACAAAGCTGTTTTTATTTTCTCCTTTTAAAACTATCATGACTTTTATTGAGGCAATTTTCAAACAAACCAGCTAGAAATCAGGCAATGATAAACCGAAAAAAAATAAAAATAAAGTAAAATATTGAAAATTAAAGATCCCCCGTTTGGATTTCATTGTTTCTTTAATCTGCGGTTCAGATCAGAAACTTTCTGCTTGTTGTTGTGATTAATCTTTGTCTCATCTGACCATAAAAATGTTTTCTGGGAGGCATTTGGCTTGTCTATATGGGAAACAGCACATTAAGTCAACTTTAAAGGTATTTATAGATGAACAGGTTTTTATTAATAGCCTTCATGTATATGTTTGTATCTATGTGAACTTGGAAAATCTACAATAAATGTAAACTTGAGCAGCAAATTCATGTTTTTTTTAAATCAACTTACTTGCTGTATCCTCAGTCACGAGAGAGAAAAAAGTTACATTTTATAATAAAATCCCAAAAATGAATGTTGATTCCAATAATTAGTATTTATAATTTTTTTTCTCAGAGCTTTATTATTATCAAACCATCAGATTTATGTTGTAAGAAAATAAAGTGCAGTTACGATGCTTTCTGGACGCCTCCATGGTGTTCCTGGCACATCCCACCAATACGAGACCCAGACACTGATCCAGAGCAGGATTATGTTTCCCACCTGGCCAGGAAACACCAAGGGGTTTCCCCAGAGGAACTGCCCCAAGTGAGAGAGAGGGAGGGAAGTCTGGGCCTCTCTGCTTAATCTGCAACTTGAGTCTTTATTAAGCAAAGGATCATGGATGCAATCAAACTCATAAAAACAATCATTAGGCAAAAAAAGAAGAGAGAAGTGTTTGCAAGGCATAGGGACCACAAATGCCACTGAATAAATCAGTGAATGCTTGAGACCCCTGATCTAAAAGCCCTTATAACTTCTATTTTGGAAGTTCAAACAGCAAAGATACCTTCACATAAATGAATGTGCACAGTGGAAACCATCTTGGCACCACTCTCAGAGGTACAGCCAATCAGCCCCAAGGAAAATATTGGCGTTTCTGGATTGGCAACTTTGCAGACTCCAGGTGAAAGCGTGTCACGTAGCTTTGGGAGCACAGGGAGAACCGGAGAACATGCAAACTCCATGCAGAAAGACCCTGGGAATCAAACCCAGGATCTTGCTATTGACTGGTCATAAAACTGAATACATGGCTTTAAGTAATTAGTTGGACATGAGAGTGGAGGCTATGTTTAGCTTTACTTCACCTCACATTGCTTCGTTTTACAGTTTGACTATGTTAAACAGTTGCAGCTTTAATTGAAGGTGGGGTGTTACATGTTGTGTTGATCAGTTTGTTTTCTAAAGGAAAAAAGGGGAAACTCCAGTTTTAGTTTTCATTTCCTGTTTATTGACAGTTAGAAAGACAAAAGCAACACATGGAAAGCTGCTTATCTACGTCTATTCTAGGTTTTCACTCTCCAGAATAGCAATAATCAAACTTAGTTGTAAAGGAGAACAGAAAGGCAGCTTTTTAGCTTTGTGGTTATTCTTGTGTGCTCTCTGTGAGCTGCTCCCCGGTTGAAATCTGCAGGCAAGGCGTGCTGATCTCACCCGACTGCAGGTCGCTGGCCACCCTCAGCAAGCAGCTCAGAATCATGTCCTTGGCCAGACCGGCCTCCAGGTTTCCCTCCCGGCTGAGCTGTTGGGTGATCTGGTCAATGCTGGACAGAACAAGCTCTGAGCCCAGCAATGGGCAAATGGCACCGTCATCTGGACCGGGAGCTCCCTCCCTCGCCATGTTCTCCATCATGTACTGCTGGTACAGATCCAAGAGCTTCTGCTCCAGGTAATGATTCAGAAGGGAATTGGAGAAGGGACCCTCGCGACCCTGAAACAAGAAGCTGCGATCGTGGCCGCTCGCCTGTCTCCAGTGGTTGGATCCCCTCCTGAGCAGATTCTGCAGACCTCGCTGTCCTGGAGGAGAGTCCTCCACTGCAGGTGGGACATCGCAGGACTGTAAGAACGGCCTCACAGCCTGTGCTTCAGCACATACCCTCAAATCGGCGTCGTTGGCTGACAGAGGCAACACCTGCTCCCCTCCGATGTGGAGGTCGCTGTAGTTTTCATAGATGGTCTGGCAGAAGGAGGGAATCACGAGGGCGGTGTTACCCCCATCAGGGTGAGGTTGGGCAGGAATTTCCATGTCTGCAGATATTTGCCTCCCAACATAGACTCCCTGGAGATATGATGAGGTTGAAAGGGGAGAGATGTACAGGTCGACTGAAGCCTTCAGGCTTTCCGTGTCTCCCGTTTCCTTGAAGGAGCTGTAGGAAACGAGCGGAGCGGGGTCGGAGGTTAGGGAGGTTCTAGGTCGCCCACCAGCACAATGGGAAGTCTGAGGAGGAGGTGGCGAGTCCGTCTCCTCCATCTCACCGTAGGTCATGCTCAGCAGTCTCCCTTCACACAACATCACTGGAAAAAAATTACAAATACTCTGAGATGGTAGCAAAAAACCTCAACCTTTTATCAGCAGTGTATTTTGAATAAGTCTGAGATTCAGCACAACTAAAGGAAAACGTTCAGCATCTGCTGTGTCTTCATAATGCTCCGTGAATCTTTTTTACATCAGATCACGCTTTAACCAGAAGCTTTTCTGTAATGTCCTGGATGGAGAGTCACAGTGACCACCACACAGATCAGGGACAAAGCCATAGAGGAGATTAAGAGAGACGTAAGTAGTTTTGTGAAACTTCAGACAGGTCTGGATATAAAGACCCCTGTAGGCCGAGGATGAGAAGACGAAAGACATGAGAAAACCAGAGAGAAAACACTTTCCAACGCGAATAAATAGATGTTTTTCTGTCTAATCAGAAGGAAAGAACGCTACGTGAGTTATTTGCTCCTCTTCCACCTGCCGCCTCCTCTCACTCTGTCTGCAGCAGATGCTGCGTCAGTAACATTTCACACAGTGTTGTCTGGTTTGTCTGTTCAGTGTTTTGTTCACCTTGATGTTGCAGATGTAGAAGAAACTGAAATATAAGTAAGCTAGTGCAACCAGTGAGAGAGGAGACCTGTTATAGGGTTAGGTTGCTAAGTCTGCCCTGGTTAGTTTTTTGGGTTTTTTTGGGTTTTTTTAATTAGCAGCAGCAAAAAATGTTTTATCGGTTTGGTCTCGGTCTCCGTCCCGCCTCATTCGCAGTCTTGATTTCTGATTAGGGACTCAATAGGAAAACATCCGAATAGTAAAACATGGTGGAGGCACCATCATGCATGGGGAAATTTAATGAAATATTTTTCATTAAAGGACGCTAAATACATGGCACAGTACAGATTTTTATATGCAAAAATTTAGAAAACAATCCACCTAATAATTACGCACTACTCTGTGTTTGACCAGTCACATAAAAATGCAATAAAATGGAAAAAAGTTCATTTGTACCATGATAAAATTTGACTCTTACACACTGAACTTTGGAATACATTTCCAATGGAATACATTTCTGATTTAAATATATTAAATATACTTATGTGAAAAGCCCATTCACAGAAATATAAATAAATCATCATTGCTCCAGCAGAGTCAATCTTTAACCTTTGAAATGTTAAAGATAAAATGAGTAAAATGTCAAAAATAGCAGCAAAAATATCAGAATCATACATCTTCCTACCTTGTACCAGAATCAAACTTCCACTCTGGAAATGTGCTTTAGCTTTTTAATCCTAGATGATGATGCACTTTTTTTTTTCCTTGAATCATGCAGCAGGTTTTTAAAATTTCAGATCTTTACAAAATAGGTTTTGGACATTTCTATAAACTTAATGTTCTTCCCAGTCAGTGTAATTAAGTCTGCATGTATGTGAATGTTGTTTTATACAATTTGTTAGACGGAAGTGGGACGGCTCGCATCTTTCTCTCACTTCTGGAAATCTGGCTTTAGCGCAACTCTCAATTCAGTATCTTTCTAAATCATGCAGGCTTAACATTGATGGCCCACGATGCTCTTTAATAGCTTCTTGTTGTTTTCTATTTATGATTTGTGTTCCTATATGCATTTGGTTTTGCATCGCCAAAAGTTAAAGCTTCTGTCAAAGAAATCAACAAACATATGAGCCGTGAGAAGAAACCACAGATGTTCTGTTCCTATTCAAAGGAAACAGGTGTTTAAAAGCAGAAGAAAGACTAATTTAACACATATTATCACGAAGTGAGAGCTGGGGGACATTAATTCCTCTTTTCGTTTTTCTAAAAAGGCAGCTAAAGGTTCCAAGGTAAATCTAGATGTTTGGTTTTTGCAGCTTGTAGCATCATCTTAAAATTCTTTGAAATTCAGAGGTTCAACGTTTCCTTCTCTATTAACGCTGCTTACTAACGCGTTTATGTTATCATGACATCCAGCAACATGATCAAATATTGAATGGTTTTCCAATACTCTGGCAATGGTGCTGAAGTTCCAGCATATTTGAGTTTCAGGGGGACCCGGTTTGAAAACAGCTCGTCTCATCCAGCGGAGAAAGTTTGTGTCAGATGGTTTAAGTTTGGATATAACTGGGTGACTTGATGAGAATATTGATCACAAACACACTTCACAGCTGGTTTCAATGGACAAATCAAGAGTCCAAAAATAATAATAAAAAAACCCATAAACCTTATTGACATATCAAGCCAATCAATTTAAATCCATCTTACCAAAGCAAAGAACAGGCATAACGCATAAACCTTCTGCTAGCTACAAGTATGTGACTGAAGTCCAAGTTGCTAAAGGAGATGAACATTTCTCTATTTGACCAGATGACCCTAACTTTGAACAAATTCAACCTTGTGCCTCAAATTCTCTGTTTAAAATATTTCAAGTTATTTGTGGCATGGTCATTTCACACTTGGGGGAGAAAAAAATTATTAAATTGAAGCCTCCAAACCCCAAAATCCAAATATTGAGTGTCTCGCCAGAACATCATTAGGTAGATATTAGTTACCCAGTGAAAGTGACTGATCCTGTCAGCCTGTGGGGTATTCCCCAACATAAAAGCCCCCTCTTTACATGTGTATCGGTATCAGCTAAGCGTCTTACATACTTCCTCTGCTGGGGATTGAGGAGCCCAGCAAACAGCAGCCAATCAAAACAAGAGGAAAATGCTTTACTATTAATTAACAGAGGTAACATCAGACATAAATAGCATCGCCTAAATTATAAAGTTTGTGGAAACAATTAGGACAAGCTGCAAAGATAAACCGTATACATATTGATCCCCAAGTAAAAAAATAAAAAAAAGAAAGAAAGCAGATCAAAACTTCCAAGGAGTTTATTCTATACTGAGTGAAGTTTTAATTATCCTCTGATCTATAATGCATGTTTATGAACAGATGGATTCATGTGATTGAAGTCAAGATCTGAAGTCTTGCCTAGTTTGTGTCTCGGTCTGCTGCTGGTAATGATACCTGCCAGGCGTGCGGCAGCTCAGTGTAATGATAACACCGAGTGTAGAGTTACCAACCCGACTCCGCAGCAGTGTTGCTGAGCAACATCCGATAACATTAAAGACACGCCGAGATCAAGTTAGACACCTGTTTTCAGGTCTGCTTTTCGTTTGGCTGCTTCAGCAGCCCGGACAGACACTGGCCCCAGGAAACAGCTCAGTCAGAGTCAGCAAGAAGCTTTATTGGCTTCACAATGTCTTGAAAAAAAGGTAGAGAAGACGCAGACAAACTGAGGTACACAAGAGCAGGTCTGGAAGCATGTAAGAGTCCTTTTAGAGGGATGTTCAAGAAGCTCAACAATGTGTTCCGACCTAACCATCATGGAAACAGAGGCCGAGGTGATGGTGGGCTTCACGGCGACTACCACAGCGCCTGCACGGTCCGACTGGTCCGCAGCACCTCCATGCTGGTGGTGGGGGAGAGAAGTCGCTCTTCCGAGGGGTCAACCCTGACGCGGAGCAAGAGCAGCGTGAGCATCGAGTCAACTCTGTACTATTACCAGAGGCAAGAGGACAGGATTTGGCTGTACTCCCAGAACCAGAACTGTCTGGAGTACCTGGAGGCTCTGGTGGCTCTCAGGAGGCAGTACACTAAAAGTGTCAGCGACCTGAAGAGCAATGATGCCAAGACTGCAGCGAGTCCGAAGAGGAAACCCGCACCCCCTCCTCCAAAGATGGAGGAACCGGTAAGATGCGCAGAAGTATTGGTGCTCCACATTGGCCTTCATCATCTTCTAACCACAAACTGTGAAAGCTTTGATTGAAGTTTGGTGAGAAAGATCAGCATATAAACATTTTATTGCGAAATAGAAGAAAATTTGAGTTTTTTAACTAAAAGAAAATTCAAAGAGTAAAATACACACACATGGACCCTATTTCTTAGTTAGATGCTTTTGAAAGCAAGTAGTTTTACTAGATTTTATTTGCGTAAAGACACTTTCCTTTTTTGTTGTAAACCATGAGCCCTTTCCCTTATACTTCAAAAAAATGACACACTATTTTGTTTTGCTCTATCGCACAAAATCCCAATTAAATACATTACAATTTATCATTGTGACATGTTAAAATTCAAGTATGAATACCTGCTTATTGAAAGAAAAAGTCAATTCTTCTTCTTCTGTCGATCACAGATATTAAGACCCAAACCATCTACGCCTCCGGTCCCCACAGAGCAGGACACGCTGCAGTTCTTGGATGAGGTTATCGCCAGCTGTGACAGCGAACCTCTGCGTAAACCCTACAAGGACGATGGCAACGCAGACGTAGACTTCATAGGTGAGCAAGACAGAGGCCGATCCTGGGAATTACTGGGATCATTCTGTGAATTCTGAATGTGAGCGGTGACAAAGACACAAGTTTTAGAAATAAAATCAAATTTGGACATACTCGATGTTTCTGGTTTTAACAGAAACAGTTAAAATCAAAAAGACAGTTGTTTTTTTTCCTTAGGTTGACGCAGTGTATTTCTAATCATGAGACACGAACAGATAGTATCGTTCCATACTCTTAATTCTTACAAATAACATTTTTATAATACATTTTTGAAAATGAAAGCAGTCGAGTGAGTCCAAGCGGACAAATATTCACATTAATGTAGAAATACATGCATTCACATAATGGAGGTCAACTTGAGGGACGAACCGTTTACTGCATTGTGTGCCTGCAGTTTTAGAACAGGCTTGTCCCTGTGAATTCAATGTGCAATTACATAAAGTATTCCTGCAATGTGAGTTTACTTGAAATGTTCCTTTAAGCACAGTGAGCAGTCTGATATATGTACATGCAAAGTGCAAAAACATAGACTGAAGTAAATATTTTGACATCTAAACAATAAGGCAAAACAAGCCAATTTATTCGGGTCACAATATGGATTTCAAAAGCAAATCAGGCACAATTTTAAACCTGTCTTCTTCTGTGGTTAATTTGGACCTTGACAGTGTATGTTTCATATTTTATCCTCAGAAAAGAAAATCACTTTCAGTAAAATTTTGCCCCCAAGGTTTACATATGTGATTTCTAACAGTGTATCAGACACTGTGGTTGCGTATCTGAGATCTGAGCAGTTTCAAATGCCTTGTGGTGGAATATTCAGACACAATTGTTTTTGCAAGAAAACTGAAGGTATTATTCATAATCCTGATAAATAAAGAGAATACATCAAGGTCAGACATTCTTTGAGTAGTAATGAGACCTGTGTGCATAATTTGGGAGAAACAAACATGGCTCCAGATCTGTGAGGCAGGCTCACTTTCCAGATATGCTACCTTGCCTCACTGAAGCTTTTGTTGTTGAAAATAAATCTGAAGGAATTTATTATGGATACTTGACGAATCTTGTTATGCACGGCAAAAGTACAGAGTCATAAATTTTCTTATTTTATCGATGCTTTTATATTATTTACAAGTTCGGTCAAAGTCAGTGTTGCTAGCTTTTTTCTAGTTTTTTGTTTTGTCTGTGTTTTGGATTTAATCTGGAACAGGTAATGTTTACATATATATATATATATATATATATATATATATATATATATATAATATATATATATATATATATATATATATATATATATATATATAACAGGTATATATATATATATATATATATATATATATATATATATATATATATATATATATATATATATATATATATATATATATATATATATATATATATATAAAGGTTTTTTGACTTTTGAACATATCAAACTGTACAGCAAACCTCTCCAGTGAAAAGTTTAATATTTTCTTCTTTTTTTTTTATGCGCTGGCAGGAACTCTACAAATTTTACACCAGCATCTGTTGGACTTTTTATTTTACCAGCACAAAAACCCACAGAGATTAAAAACCTCCTTTTCAAGGGAGTCCTGGCCAAGAGGCATCAATAAATACAAAGTCCATCTCAGTTCTCAGACCTAAATCCTTTAGAAATCCTTCAGCCTGAGCTGAACCAAGAGGTCATAAAAGGTACCCTGATTATGGAAAATGTACATGAATTATGCAAAAGGTACTAGTCAAATATCCCTCTCTCCTTAACCTTCAACTTAAAAAAAAAAAAACATTTTAGTGAAGGATTAACCTGCTGCACCAGTTCTTCTGCTGAACCTATCTTGATAACAAACTCCTCCAAACATCATTAAGGATTTTTCATAACCCAAAAACTTGCCATTGAGTATCTAAAGTTTTTTCTGCTGTATAACCTTTGCCACATTTACTGAGGGTGCCGATAAATGTGGCACCTTCAAACGTTTACATTGAATTAAAACTGAACTGTTTTAATGGTCTGTAACTAAATTGTGTCCTAGGTTTTTTTGAAGCTGTACACCACTTTCAGTCTCATCTCGT